AAAAAAATCGGATATGAGTCAGATGGGTCAAAAAAATCGGATTTGGGTCGGATTTGCCTGCAGTGTGAACGTAGCCATGGTCTTTGTTTGACTGAAGCAACCCGTGGATGGTGGGTCCATGAAGCTGTCTGTGTCAGCACAACAGCAGCCCATCTTTTAGAAACCAGCAAGTAGGGGTGGGAATCTTTTACTCTCTCACGATTCGATTCGATTTAATTCAGATTTTTGGGGCCATGATTCGATTCAAAATCAGTTTTTCATTAAAAACTGATAATGTGAGCTCATTTGTCGTGTTCCCAAAATGCTTCATCTTCATTTTGCAAACCTTGCACACAGTGTAGCTCATCAAACTCTGACTCATTCAGTAAAAACTAAAATGAGCCCAAATCTTTGCATTCAGTGAAGACGGGGCCAGTTGAATCTGTCTTTCCTCCAGTTTTAAAGTTTCCTCTTTGTTTTGGTGCTTTCTGTGCATGCATACTGTATGTTCCAGAACCAGCCATGTAGTTACAACATGGAGGCTGACAGTCGCTGGATTTGCTTTATTTTATTTATTTATTTAATCAATTTTGGGTCATCTTAAATCAATTCTGAATCTTTGTAAAGGAGAATCACGGTTCTGATGTAAATCAATTTTTAAATGTATTTTTCTGGTAAACTACCGCCAACAAGTAACGTGTCTGGCTGCGCACCAACCTTGCTACAAGGCTGTTGTTGTTGTTGTTGTTGTTGTTGTTGTTGTTGTTGTTGTTGTTGTTTTACCTCATTTGGAGGCACACAGATGGGGGTGTCTCTTCTCTCAGCCCCCACTACCTGCTGTTTGTCTTCTGAATGAGCTGAGGCAGTCAGAGAACATGCATCAGTAACAACAAGGGGTCGTTTTCTGAAATGTTTGTTCCAGCCCTACCAACTGAGTCACTGTGCTCATCTATATGTATATGTTTTTAAGATTATTTAGTTGTAATTTTAGGCTGCAGCTTCACTGTATTAATACTTTTGGTGAGGAGGATGAGATTTATGCATCCAGTGGTGTTTCCATGGAAAGACACTGTTGGACAGTCCAAACAGTGTGTTTTCAAATTGTTTGTTTTAGGTTTAGACTTGTAGGTGTTACCATTCTGAAAGAGAGTTTGGAAAATTTTGGTTTCCTTTTAAAGAGTGCAGGTAGTTTTCCTGTGAACCCTAAAAGTTAAAAAAAAACTAGTTTCACTCTGATAACCTGTTTCCCCTTGAATTTAGCAGTAGTTTCAGATAATTAGTGTCGGCTGCTTTTTTAATTATTAGTGAGTGGAGGTGCAGCAGAGCAAAGGTCACCTTTCTTGTAAGGAGGAAAGAATCCTGACCATTTCTCTCTTGTGTGTTAGTAGAGAAGAAAAACTTGCCTTTTTTGTATGTTTTCCATTTATTTTATTATCTTAGAGGTGAGAGCAAGAGTTTATAAAGTGATCTTGGAGAGTTTCTGTTTTTTCTGTGTGTAATTTATTTTTTGTTTATTTTCAGGTTTGGGATCCTGGAGCGCTGTAAGGAGCTGGTGGAAGCAGGATATGATGTCAGGCAGCCAGACAAAGAGAACGTCACTCTTCTTCACTGGGCAGCCATCAACAACCGCTCAGAGCTGGTCAAGTAAGGGTAGCCCTTTTAGGGCCCTAAAAAAGGTTTTATTTTTTTTCCCAAAATCTGATTATACCATTTTTTTATTTTTATAAATTCCACTTTTTCCATTTCCCCCCCTGAATTCCACATATTCATTGTAACCATATTCATAAACCTAAAAAGTGTGGAATTATAAAGTGACTGAACAATAAGTTCACAAATAAATAGCTACACAAATAAAAAATGAGTGGCTAATATTTCACTTTCACTAATTACAACAAATAGCTGGGGTTCAGTAGAACATGAAATTCTTTTTGCAAGCTGTTTAAAAGTTTTTCACCAAGAAAAACATTCATGTTTAAAACATTAATAAAGTTATCCTTTTGTAAGTTAAAAAGTTTTAGAATTGAATTTCACATTAAATATGTCATAAAGAAACCTAAAACCTACAAAACGGCAACAATTTGCGAACACTTGCTTTTTGAATAGGATCGAAGCTGATTTATTTTGCTATGGATTGAACCTCTTCTTTTATTTATGTAACTTATTGAACCGCTTTAATAAAATAATTTATAAAACTAGTGCAAGGCAAACCAACAAATACAAATTTGTGTAGCTGCAATGATCTTTGTTTTCCAAAATAGCATTAATGTTGTACAAACCAAGAAGAAAGAAAATACAAAAAGTGCAGATTTTGTACAATTAATATTAAAATCTTTTCACCTAAGAGGGCTAAATCATTTTATTACTTTATAATTGGCTAATATGTTGTGCCTGTCTTCCACGTCTAAACTTTTCAATGCATTAACTAATTAAGTTTTGTGGTCATGAAATTTTATAAAATTAAATCTTTCAGAAAGCCAGATGTGCTTCATTATGTGAAACTGGAAAAAAAATACCAAAATTGGCCTTTTATCGTTTTGTTTTTATATTTTCCCCCTCAGGTATTATATGTTCAAAGGGGCAGCCATTGACCAGCTGGGAGGAGACCTCAACTCCACTCCGCTTCACTGGGCCATAAGGTGGGACTGTTTTTAGTTCAAGTGTTGTCTCATGTTGGATTTTAGTTTTTAATATTTCTGATACAGTCACATCAATCAGCTATGGAGATCAAACAACAYGTCATAATATGTCTCTAAATAATAATAAAACATACTTGTGCTGTTCTGACATTTAGCTAGCAGCTCTTAGTTTTGTTTTTCACCTTCTTTTGCAATAAAGTTGCCTCTTTGTTTTGAAACCCATGCTCAGACAAGGCCACCTCCCGATGGTGATCCAGCTGATGAGATATGGAGCAGACCCCTCCATCGCAGACGGCGAGGGTTACCGTGCGCTCCACCTCGCCATCCTCTTCCAGCACATGGCCATCGCAGCTTACCTCCTCGCTAAAGGAGAGGTCAGACTTGATGCAGCTCATCAGTTTTCAATCTGCTGAACTTTGTTGTTCTCATTCTTCTCTTGTTGGGTGCTTGTGTTCAGGAAGTCGATGTGGCGGACTGTAATGGACAGACGCCACTGATGCTGGCAGCCCAGAAGATTATTGGGTATATTTTTATTTTTTACCAGTGTGCTTTTAACTTTACTGGTTTTGAGTAGAGTCTTAAAGAATGGGAGTTTTGTTTTTTTGACATTCTCTTAAAGCTTTAAAAACAAGATTTATTTTAAAATGTGAAGTTTGACTGTCCTATGAAACTCTTAATTATTTTTATAGAGATGTCAGTTTATGACTTCCTGGTTGATTTTGAAGGTTGTTTTTCTGTTTTAGGCCTGAGCCCACAAACTTTCTGATCAAAAATAACGCCTCTGTGAGTGCTGTGGACAAAGTGAACAGGAACACTCCGTTACACTGCGCAGTGCTCGCAGGAAACGTGGATGCTGCCCACATCCTGTTGGAGGCAGGGGCCAGCGTGGACGCTGAAAACATCAACGTGAGTTCCACGAGATTTCTGAAAAATAAGCGTTGTGGCTTAAAGTCCATCTTAACTTGAGTTTTTGTGTTTCAGCTGAGCTTTAATCAGAGCTCAAGTGTGACAGCGGGGCGAACTTTTCATTTCTTTTCCACACCGTGTGAAAAGTGTTTAAATAAAGGAGAATTTTAAGTTGTGAACAGCTTGTTTGTGGTCGTGTTTCGCCCTCAGGGTCACACACCGATCGACCTGGCTCACCAGGTGCACAGCCCGCTGCTCGTCCACATGCTCAACCACATCAAACAGGAGAGGATTCGCTCCAGTTCCCGCTGTCTGCGCTTTGTCAACAGATACAAGGTACAGTTCAGACAGACAGAAGGAAAATGACACATTTTAAAGGTGACTARTAATGTGAAAGAATGATTTCTTCTACATTGGCTGTTTTTCTAGGTTTTTATGCAGTTTTTGTTCTGCACTATCATCTACGGTTGTGTTATAACGATAGTCGACATGAACTCAGAGTCCTGGTTACTCAAAGGCATCCTGCTGGCCTGTGTAATAGGTGGGATCAATTTAGCTTCAAGGTGAGAACTTGTTTCTCTTTAGCTCTCCTTTTGATAGATTTAAATAGAAATGCACTCAGTATTCATGTGTTGGTTCTTTTATTTAAACAAACATTGTTTGTATGAAACAGGATCTTCCCGACCGCAGACTTTCATTCTTTCCTGCCACCTTCAGCTCTCATGGCCTCCATCTTCTGGATAATCTTCACCTGGTTTCTCTGGTTTCTGCCAGATATCCTTTTTTTTCTTCTTTTTTGGAGAAAGGGGTCACATCGAAAAATTTCTAATACAAAATTTTTCATTATTTTTGGATAAATCCGTCTGTTTATAATTGCTAAAGTTTGAACAATATTTCAAAGCTTAGTTTATCAGAATCAGTTGAGGATTGGATCAGAATATTTAAAATGGACCAAAGCTCAGTGCAGCTACAAGACAAGCCTGTAGCTTTAATAATAAAGAAATTAATAATAATAAAAAATATTGCTAATATATTTTGTTAAAAACAAAAAAAATCTTATTTTTAGCCGCAAAGAAAGAAAATTTCTCATATCTTTTTAATAAATGGTTATTTAGTCCTGGGTGTAAATTTAGTCTAAACTTACACTTCCCTCTTAACACCAAGTCCAATTTTTTTATTTTCTATTTAACTTAAACTGGGTTTGACTTTAAACGCTCAATTAAAATTTTTATTTCAGTATTTATTTCCAGATAATTTCTGAACTTTTGCACAACTTGGAAAATAGCATTGATTGTTAACAAAACACCAAATCTTGACTCCAGCAAACATATAGGGACAAATTGAATTTAAATATAGTAATATTATTTAGCAGCAAATTATTGACATGTAATAACATTTTCAAGTCTGCAACCCACTGACCTGACCTAAGTTTAGCTGGGTTTTTAGTTGTTTTTGTGTGTTTTTCTTTTTTCAGTTTCACTGCAGCTAGTTTCAGATAATTGGCCTCCTGCTCAGTTTTCTGTACGTCAGATAAATTGCAGCTCAGTTAGGATTAAAAAGAACATTCTAAAACTCCTTTTCTCTTCGGATGAACTGCTTGGTGGTGTGTGTTTGGTKGGCAACAACAAAAATCACCTGTTACATGTTTTAATACACTTTTAAAAAAGTGTTTTTGTTTTAAAGGTGATATGTAGGATTTTCCARATGTAGATGTTAATACTTGTGTTTATTGAAATACTGCTCTCTTTCTCTAAACTTTAAACTCAAGCATTTTAGTGACACAAAAAGAAAGAATAGTTTTTTTGTTGTAGTTGTAACAGATGTGATTATTTAGAACCGTATAGAAGGATCTGAGTTTGTTGAAACATCTGTCAGAAATAGAAGAAGTCATTGTTTTAACTGATTAGATTAGATTTTAGATTTTATTTTGGTAAATTTACACTAAAAGAGGAAGAAAACAATATGAAACAATTTTATAAATACAAATCAAAATTTACCAAAAACAGAGTAGGCTGTGTAGCCAAGGCTTATACTTGCCTACCCTATTCAATGACTCTCAGTATACTGTACCTATATGTACACACACCTTAAATATACATGTGTATACATATACATACATATATACACATACATACATTACATGTATACATGGTTACAAAATACAAATATAAATCTACATAAAGGTATAATCTTTTTTATAATTTTACATTTTAAGGCTCTTTTAAAGTTCACCAAAAAAGCACAATTTGAGCTCATCATTCAACTCGTTCCATAATTTCATACCAAAAACTGAAACACATCTAGATTTTACTTTACTTTTCTCTTTAGCTTGTTCAAAAATGAACAAACCTCGTAAATTATATTCACTCTCTCTTAACTTAAATAATTTTTGAATTCCAGAAGGAAGATTTTATTCAATGCTTTATACATTATTTCTAGTATTTTTATATTCACAATGTCCTGAAATTTTTAAGTGTTACTTTGAATGAAAAGTTTATTAGTTGGTTCACAATATCCCACTTTATTAATAAGCCTAATAGCTTTTTTTTGTAACTTAACTAATATGTCAGTAGCTGTTTTAAATGCATTTCCCCGTATTTCTGAGCAATATGACAAATGAGGCATAATCAAGGAGGAGTATAAAACATACTAACCTTTTACATTTATAAAGTTTTTTTAATTTTAAACAGTATTCCAATTGTTTTGGATATTTTATTTCTAATATATTCAATGTGAGGCTTCCAACTAAGTTTGTTGTCCAGAATTATACCTAAAAATTTTGTTAAACTCTTTCGATTTCATCTCCATTTATGTGTAACTTTACATGACTGTGTATCTGATTACCAGAAAATATCATGAAATTGGTTTTATTTCCGCTTGTTGTAATCAAACCACGTTTTCAACCCAACTAGTTTCTTCTTCTATTTGTATCAGTTCGTCCATATCCTTTCCAGACAAGAAAAGGTTTGTGTCACCAACAAACACTGTAAATTTGAAAATKTTGGATGCTGTAAAAATATGATTTAAATTATAAATAATTTAGGCCCCAGAACTGACCCTTGAGGAAGACCACATTTAATAGATTTTGTTAACTGAGAGAAAATGTGATAAGAAATTCGTCTTTGTGTTTTGTAGCCTTAACTAAAAGTTAATATTTTGTGAAATGGGTTATTATTTAGTGTTTTTGATGAACTGAAAACTTCTTAACTGAACCCTCCTACATCTACCCAGCGCCACAGTTCAGGTGCTGTTCACTCTGAACGCCACCGCTCTCCTCTACTACTACCTGCGCACATGCAGGACAGACCCAGGTTTCATCAGAGTCACAGAAGAGAAGAAGAAAATGGTGGGGAAGCTGTAAAAAATCTGAGATCTAGGAGATTATTTCTCCCATGTTCTGAGAGATGAGCTCTGATTGGGTTTTGTGCTTTCAGAACGTGGTGCTGTTGGCCGAGGCCGGCTGTTTGGATCCCAGAATATTTTGCACATCCTGTATGGTGGGTCAATCCTCACAAGCTCTTTTTTACCACCCTGAGCCTTTAACCCAAACATCAACAACCTGCTTTACTTAATACCTCTTTATTATTTGCAGATAAGGAAACCATTAAGAGCCACTCACTGCTTCAACTGTGACGCCTGTGTGGCAAAGCAGGACCACCACTCCGTCTGGACCAACACCTGCATCGGTACGAGGGATAAGTTACTGACTTACATGATAATATCATGTGACTTTGTCAAATCAATGTTTATATTCAGAGGATTTCTAAACTTAAAGTTTATTTTGTCAATGAAAATGTCCAGTTTGAATTTTGACTTTAAGGGGACATATGTGCAAAATTCACTTTTTTAACTGTTAAATACACTTTGTTGTTTCCTTAGATTCTCTAGGAGTTGCATTTAGTCTCTCCGGGTGCTACAAATATATCTTAATGTTCTGTTTGGGTYATATTTTTTAACCTGTTTAGTATTTTRTATTTTGTATGGCGTTTTCTGAATTGTAACGCCAAGTCCTTTATGACAGAACTTCTAAAGAAGGTCTGGACTTACCAACTACAGCTTGGTGGTCTTCATTCTCCTCTGGTTCTGGGTCAGATTCTGACTCCCAACATGTAAGGCTGGATAGACAAGTCTTTGGGGTGTGAAGTGCCTTGTTTGGACTTAAAGAGACAACCTCAAAACGAGCTGAACTGAGACCAAAACATTGCAGTTCCACTTTATGAAGACCCCAACTGAATGATTTAAAAGCATGAAATGTCTCCTTTTAATTTTTATGGTTAATGTTAGTTTATTTATAACTAAATTTTAAAAAGTTTTACTTTGGGTAAAGGTGCGTCAAAGTTTGTAGTGTTCAAAATATTCTGTACTACTTCTTAGTGGACCAGCTGCATTTTTGTTGTTAGACAATTTCTCTCACATGATTGTTCATAAATTACAGAMATTAAATTGGGGATGCACCAAAATGAAAATTTTAGCCAATATCGATATCCGATAAATTTATTGGTGTTATGGCTGATAACCGATATTTACCGATACTACACAAACACACAAATTTTATTATACATATACACACAAACACACAAATTATTTATATACGTACATATACGTACAAACACACTTGTCTTTTTTCGATACCGTAAATAAACAACCAGACCTCTGACATGGCTCTACTTCAGTTATTCCTGGCTGTGCAGCAKCAGTATCACTATCATGATCAAACAGATACTACTCAACCAATGATCTCTCCTCCCAAAACAGAAACACAAAGATAAAAAGTGGGAAATCAATATTAGGTGTTAGTATCAAACCAGTTTTATTTTTCGGACCAATACTGACATTCTAAAAAATGACCAATGTTAATGCTGATATATTGTGCATTCCTACATTAAATACAAATTGTATAAAGTTGAAATAAAGTTTTATTTTAGTCCAGATTTAAAATATTAGAAATATAAATTGGTCATTTTTCAATCAGATGATATTTGTTTTTAAAGAAATCAAAACTGGGCAACTTTTTAGTTCAGAAAATATCAGCAAATCCTGACCTGAGTTTCACTCAAAGATTCAACAGTCAGCAGGAGAACTGTTGTTTCTAAATGGTGAGTTTCTGCATCCAGAAATATAAACAAAACTAATGTAAAGTTTTTTTTTTCTCTGAAACTCCACTGAGTCCTTCTCAGATGGACAGAAAGACTGCAGGCATGCTTTGCTTTGATCAGATGAGTCAACGTTTCTGCTCTCTTTAAAACAAAAAATCAAATACATTGGACGAGCGAGGCTCTTATCAGAGACAAGTGCAGTCAGATGTGTCCTACTGAAAACATGTGGCACAACTTGACTGAGCAGCAGCTGAATGGTTTTATTCAGCAAAAAAATTATTTAATACTTCATTTTAGTAACTTTTTTTCGTATTAAGACCCACAGAGATGCTAGAATGCAGCAGGATTTTTTTACTTGTGAAAATACACAAAAGTTCAATGACAGAACAGCTGAAAACTCATATCTGTTCACATATCATCATATTGTTCGTCTTCCAGGTGCAAGGAACCATTACTACTTTGTCCTCTTCCTGTTCTCCCTGATGCTGTTTGGCTCCTGGATGATTTACGGTTGTTTTATGTGTGAGTGATGGAAAAAAACAAAACCTCAGATTCTCCACAGTTTTTTAAAATGAGCACAGATTCTATGTTGTTGTTGTTGTTGTTTTTTGTGTGTGTGTGTGTGTGTGTGTTTTATTTTTTTTAAATTTTTTTTATTTTTTGCAGACTGGTCCATTCACTGCACATTTCATTATGAGGATCAGGGTCTGTGGGGGGTCATCACAGTCCTGGTCACCTGCTCCCCCTGGTTGCTCAGCATCTTCGTGCTGTCATTTTATCACACCTGCTGGTCCAGTTTGGTCCTGCTGGTGCAGCTCTACCAGGTGACGGATCGCGTGTTGTTTGGTTTCTGTGTCTGAAAAATCAACTGAAACTGGAGTTTTCTAAAACCGCAGAGACTTTCTAGATATTTATAGAGATTAAGAAGGTCTGACACTACAGTTATAATAGAAATAYAGTTATAAAATCAGTAACAGAAATATTTATGTTTTATTATGGGTAGTTTTTTAGGAGGTTGGGGGAGAAAATAACCGTTTAGGTTGCAAGTTCAGAGATGAGTCAAACCTGTCAAGTCAGTTCGTCTGGTTTTCTTATCTGCTGCATTTCAGCATTTTAGAGACATTTGTTCTGAGTGAAACATTTCTTTATTTTTATGTCTTTGTTGGAGCAGATTGCTTTCCTGGGAATAACAACAGCAGAGCGAACAACTCTGRTCTTCCAGCAGAAGAAGCTAAGACAACCCGTATCTATGAGACAGAATCCCTTCAAGTGAGTCATATAGCATCTGTTGTTTTTTATTAAAAGTACCAACTAATAATCATAGGCTGAAGCTAAAATAACAAATGCAGTTTTAGTGGTCTGAAAACCTGCTAATAAAGCTGCTAAACTGGCAACACTGTGGCTGATTCACAATCTGCTTCCTCTCTCATGCCTGTTACGCAATGTGAGTGATTAATTTAGTTACGCAATGAAGCTGTCAAATTATCATCAATTATAGGTGTTGTGGAGTTCTTTGTACAGTGGGCATGTTCACCTGGTCAGATTTTAATTAATAATTAAATCAAATAATAATTAATAATTAAATTCATTAATTAATTTAATTTTGATATTTCTTTAGACCCATCAGAGGCACAATTTTTACTTTAAACAAACTAGACAGGCCTACTAGCCAATCAGAAATCAGGTGAGGATGGGACTAAGATATCTGTGTAAAAAAAACAGTCCAGGGTATCAGCCCTGGCTTTGAACATTGAGACTTTTTTTAAGAGAACAGTGATCCACTTTAGTCTTGAGCCAACTCAGACTAGCCATTAGCTCATCAATACAGTCAGAGTTAAACTCAGTTTCTCTAAACTTGGAACACTGAAAACTCCATCTACAGCAGGTAAGATAGTGTTTAGAAATTTAAACAATCTGAACTACTGCTTTAATACACAACATACCTGAATCTAAGCACAAAAAGCTCAGCATGCTTTTGTAAGTTAGTAAATCCTGATTGTTGTTTTTGTTCTTTTTGCCTTACATATTCCTGGTTGCAACATTTAAATACTGTTGCCCATGTTTCTCTGTCTGCTCTGTTTACAGTATGGGTGTGGTGCAGAACCTGGTCTCGTTTTTCCACCTGCGCTGCTGCGGCCTCTTCAAACCCACTGTTGTGGACTGGTCCGAGCAGTTCCAGCCCCACCGGGACCAGTACCTGTTTGAACAAATCAACGTGATCTGACCTTCTCCTCCCCAAGCTCTCCCCTCCACCACCCCCCAGCTCAGGGTCAGACTCTGGTTCTGGACCAAAAGCACAGAATGTATTCAATTATTTTTTTCGTCTGGTGGCTTTTTGTAAAAAGAAACCACGGTTCTAAAAGTTGGAGCAACGTAACGATCTTGTGGATATTGTTCCATTCAACTGATCTTTAGAGACTGCTGCTGCCTTACACTTGACCAATTAAAGAGAAAAGAGTCTGAAGTTTTGGTTTGATAAAAGGGACAAGAAGAATCTTTTAAAGGCGTAATTGTTCTGAGCATTTGTTGTTTTTATGAACACATTAAACCTATTTTTTATGTGGTTTGATGGATACAGACTCTTTGTAAACAGTTTGGTTTTTTTGCCTTTTGTAAAAGCTGCATGTGTTTTAATAACAAATGACCACTATACTTCAATAAAGTGACCATGTGCCTGTCTTCTTACCTGCTTCTGTTTAAAATTCACTTTTATTAAGTCATGCTATTTAGTCTGTGAATTAGTCTGAATTATTTGTGAAAATAGAACAGATTTTAGATTTTTTTTTCTTTCTGTTTTTAATCAGAGAGGAATAGTTGCTCAGATTTTTATTGGCTAAATCTCTTCTGGCTCAGCAGGATGGCCCAGGCTCACAATTATTGATTCAAGAATAACAAACTTACCCAGTCTGCCACGTTGCACAGAATTTAAATTGGCTTTTGCCCAGAACAACAAAAATATATTAACTTTTTACAGCTTCTTTTTTAAAGCAGCAGGAGTATAAACTTAGGCACGGTTCAGCAAGTGGCTTTGTATTGAAGTTCATCAAACCTACAAAATGTTTTTCTCACCTGGCTTCAAAAGGCATTTTTCTGCTCATATAGTATTTGTGTTTGTAGTGTTTGCAAGATATCCTGTCAATCGGTAGATGGGTGTTTCATCACTGCACGTACCACTGATTAACTTTTGGTGTCGCCCACTTTTGAGATGATCACCACAACTTGGTGAYATTCACGAAAAGTGGTGAAAACTCACCAAGTTTTACAAAAACAAACAAAACTACGTTTGAGAGTATTTCTCAACTCTGAAGTTCTGATCGGGAAAAATCTGTTTTTGAAACCTTACCAATAACACTACATGAATTTTAATGAATGTCTCAGGAAGTCATCCTAATTCAAGATGGCTGCCACAGCTAAGTGACCTAAAGCAAACTATAATAACTAAAAACCTGGTTAACTTTACAAATACTGAGCTAAAATGTGTTGTCGTTCACAACCCATACGAGTCTTGTCATATATTGTAAGATTTTGCATGAGGTTGTATGGGGTCATTTACAAGGTTTAACCAAAACAGCTAACTGTTAGCATCCCATCATAGGATTGTCTAAAAAGGTAGTGAGTGATATGTATTCCCCCCATAAAACTTTTGTTACCAGTGTCAAAGACCCAGGTTTTGGTTGCATTCCACTTTCTTCCTTCATAAAAACAAACAAAAAAGAAAACATGAAACATTTTGATGTAATAAAGTTATTTTATTTAGGTGCTGCACACTTTTTCTCAAGTTTTAAAGATCACTTTAAAACGTCCTCCGTGATGAACGATAAGGTCTGAACCTCCACTGAAACAGCTGCCATGTGTGGACTCGAGTCATGTTTTTATTCACGTTCCTCCAACATGGCAGCATTTCCCAGCCCAAATCCTTTTGGACCAAAGTTTTTGGCGTAGCACACTATGGAAAAAGATTTATCAGTGACCTGTTACTAAGGGGTATTTCTGTCTGTTTACCTGACAAAGTAAAAGATTCATTCTGGGACACTTTTTCTGAGTTAAGTGTACCTTTACAGTAAAGCTCTCCATCCTTGTCCGTCACTGTGGTCGACTCCAGGCTTTTACCACACAGAGCACAGCGGAAAYAAGTTTTATGCCAGGCCTAAACACACACACACACAATAGAGAGATAGATTATCTAAACCTTCATTTCAAGTGAGTTTTAGACTTCAAAATGTCAAAATACAAAAGTATCATCAAAGTTCCGATTAAGGTTAATTAATAAAAACAGTGATATCAATTCATCAAGTGAAGAAATAAGAAATGAACAATAAAATTTACATAAGTTCTTTTTTACATAAGTAAAAAAAATAATAACATATATACTGTATATATATATATATATACTGTGTATATATATATACACACACACACACACACACACACACACACACTGTCTTGCATGTTTAAGTTATGTATATGCTAGGGACAAGTTGTTACTCATAGGTTATGGATTTGTTCAACTCGTTAGCAATGCGTCCAATGAGAATTCCAGTTGATTTTTTTATCCATCTGCATCGAATAAATTAACATTTCATCATAAAATGTCTAAAACATTACAGTTCATTTCATGGAATTCTGCCCTATAATGTCTGCCTGAACTTTTCACACCATTCTTTMTTTTCCTGTTTAATGTTAGATTATTATAGATTCTTACAAGTATGAAATTCCCCGTTAGTTAATCTGTKGGGGTCAGATTACAGGAAGCTAAAGCTTAAGCAGAGTTCATTTAAAAAAAAATCTGTGCAGGAATGGCAATGAGTTAAAATAGTTCTGACCTTTCCTGCTCCCATCACCTTCTCCGCTGCATAGACCGCTTTGGAACAACGAGGGCATCGGTCAGAACCACCAAACTTCTGGGAGAACTTCCCGGCGTTGGCATTTGAAGCGGTGGGTCGAGGTTTAGAGCTAGAAAAAAGCAAAAACAAYGTCAGTGTATGGATTTAGGAGGTGAGTATTTCAAAATGCTTACAAACATAAAACCTACTCGTGACTATAGAGATTACAATAAGAGTTCAGACGTATTACTAAGTTCTCTGTCAAAAACTGAAGGGTGAATCACTAAAGGCCCATTGCTCTAACAGTTTTATATTGAAATGAATTTTGGAGTGGTAGTAGAGGGTTTCTCTTTTATTAGGTAAACACACCAAGTGGCAGGCAGCCTTTATACTTACTCTAGAGGCTGCAGCCCTGCATCCTGTCCAGGAGGATCAGAACTCAGAGCTCCAGCTCCTTGTCCATATCCGTAGCCTTTTGGTCCATATTTCTTGCCATAACACGACTTGCAGTAAATCTCAGACTCATGTGCCGCAACCGTGGTGCTGTCGAGCCCTTTTCTGCAGCTCACTGTGAAAATAGTAGACCAGAGGAAAAAAAATTCATGATTTCTGGACAGGGGGAAGTCATGTTTCAGGAATGAAAGTTAAATAAAGCTCCCGGCTACAGTAGCTGGGTTTCAGTCAACAGTGGCAGCACACAAAGTCAGATGTCTTGTGTTGCTGTTTGTAGGAGAGCACAGGAGTGTGAAGTGAACGCTGCAGAGAAGACGAACACTTAGCAGGTGGGATGAGTTTATCACAGAGGCCTTTCAGAGCTTCGAACGGAACAAAGAATGAGTCACAGCGACTTCAACGCGCTGAAGAGGGTCTGAATGGGCAGGCTGCTTATCTTGGTTCTTGTGTAGCTGTTATAGTCAGGCTTTTAGAGCTCAACATGGCAGATCTGAGACTGTGCCACCACAGAAAGACAACTGCTGCTCAGCTAGGAGCAGGAGAATAGGAGACATGTTTAAACCTCAGCGAGCAGCTGGCAGATTAGTGTGGATAACACTAAAGTCTTTAAAGAAATCTGCATTGAATCTGCCACACAGCTACTGTTTGAGAGGCAGCACCTTCATGGTTTAAATGGTACAGAAGTGTCTCCCATTGACTCTCCATATAAAATGAGTCTTATTGTTAGAATTTATTCAGCATTCAGTTTAGGCTGTTCCTGCAAACACAAAGGATGACTTTACCAACCTAAAAATAAATCTTCAGGTCTATTATCCATAAGATTCAGATGTAATTGGGCAGATTTTATGATCTGTGTTTTGTTTGGTGATTTTCTTCTTGAGTTTCCCCATCAGTTTAGATCTATTTTTCATTTGTGCTTTTGGTGTTCCCTGTGCCATTTTTCATTTACCTTCAACAAGTCTCAGAGTTTTTTCCCAGTCAGTTTGCCACTTTCACCTGACCTGTCCCCAATCAGCAATCAGCCCAGGTGTCTCCACTTTCCACCTCATCTCATTATGTTTTGCAGTTCATTGTACTTTTTTTCCCCCTCATGACGTCTTGGTCTCTTCTGTGGTCTTATGTGCTTCTCCAGAAGTGCTGTATGTTTTGCTGCCATGTCAGCCCTGTGTTTTTGATTAATAAAGTATTTTAGTTTGACTTCCCCTGTTTTGTCTACACTTGATCATTGCACAGTTTTCTTACACCTAATGTTTTGTTTTAAGTTCGTTTCAAGATCTATCAATGAAATGCTGCTTTTCTTGGACCTTATTTAATTTGTCCTGAGTTCAGTTAARTATCTGAGAGCCAAATGAAGGTTCTCACTTCTGCACTCAGAGTGAATTAGAAAAACTGATTAATTTATTGAGACAAWTGGTTAAGTTGTGTGGAAAAGGTAACAATTGCCATTAAAACATCTAGGTTAGGAGGGAAAATAGCAACAACTTAATCAGAAAAAGACAAGGTTCCTGCAGAAGCAGTTAGTAGAAGCAGGCAGCGGACTGCTCACTGCAGATGAAGCAGGTCTTGTGGAAACTCCTGCTGTTACACTGGATCTCCTCTGCGTGGTACACTGTCTTCTCACACGCCGCACACTTTGTTCCTCCACCCCAGGTCGGCATGGTAGAGACAAAGATTTACTGAGAACACAAAACTGAAGATGTCAATCTTTCTGTCATTTGTTCATTCAACCCTCTGTCAAACACCAGCTTAGTAAACCATAAAAAAAGAAAAAAACGTTTGATCCTAAAAACAACAATCTAAATCTAAAACCAAGCTACAACAACAACAACATTTTTAAGCTTTATTTCTAAAATGTGCTCAAGCACAGGTGTTCCCTAACTTTTTCATGCCAAGGCCCCCCAAGACAGCATTAGCTTCTGACCAATGAAATCCCATAAACAATGTTATAAAATATGTGAAGAATCAAGTTTTAGAATGTTTTTTCTTACTTTTATTCACCATTCAATAATTATTACATTTGTTTGGCATAATAATTTTTTCAGCATGTTTTAAACACTGTATTATCCCTGAAGAAAAGATTTCATCAAGAACAAAACTAAAGAAATCAAACCACAAATCACAGCTCTCGAATAACAATTCAGAATATACTTGCAAAAAATATTTGAAAAAAGAAAAAAGATTCAATTTTATGAAAATGATTTAAAACACCTTTTAGATTTAACTTTTAATCTTCCCTCCAGCTTTCTGAAACCCCCCGCCTTAGCACCCCCCCTTAGAGGCCTGGCAGTTAGAAAAAACGTTGCTCTAGCACAGTCGTTCCCAAAGTTGGAGTCAGGACCCACAGTGGGGTCCTGAAACATCAAGGTGGGGTCCTGAAAATATTTTATGAATTGATTACACTAAAAAATGACAACTAACAACATTTTTTTGCCTTTATTGTTACAAAAGAATAACAGTGTACTTAAAATGGACTAAAATAATGTTGCTATGCTCTTGTTTATTTGATGTGTAAACAATGTATATCAACCAACAATGGCTGGGGGCACAGTTGTCTGCTGCTGGCATTTTGTGGGTCAAAAGCTGAAAAGTTTGGGAACCACTGCAGCAGGTTAAATCATAAATGTGGGAGTGGCTACCAGGGCCAGCCGAGGGGTCAGTGTCAGTTTTATATATATAGCTCATAGCTCAAAAATACCAAGGTTGACCAAACTGCTTTACAAGCTTGTTGGAAACAAACAGGAAAACAATCTGCTTTGTAAAATAATCTAATACATCTCAAAGTGAACACAAAATAAAAGATCATATAAAAAATTACCAACAAGACAATGTGCACAGCCTGGATTAGTTTTTATTTTCACCACTTCATTTAGTTTCCTTTGATCTCTTTAAAACCAGCCCAAAGCTTTCTTTTTCAAGGTTATTCGATTCAATTTTTTAGATTTTTATCATAATTCTTACAAAAGTTTTCAACTGTTTGTTAGTTTCTGTTTATTTTGGACTCATCAGACGTGGTTCTAACCCAGTGGTTCCCAAACTTTTTATCTTCTGACCCACAAACTATCCACGGCAAAAACTTGTGACCCCAAATATTACTGGTCTGAGCACACAAACTTCGTTAATAACCCTAAAAACACAGGCTTTTGGCAATCTAAACAGCTTGTACACAAATGTAAATACTTATTCATACTTATTTTGTGTTTTTGTAATAATTATAGGGAAAATATTACATCAGCAGTTGTTTTATTACCCTTTAAATTGATTTCTGGAGATTATCCAAGGTGCTTCATGACCCATAATTGGGTCCCAAGCCCAACTTTGGGAACCAAAGTG